GCACAGATCAACTCTGTAGCCAAGACACTCATCTCCAGAACAAAACGCTTAGCTGACGAACAACACCTAAAAACCGAACTACACACTCTCACCAATGTACTAACATCCAATGGATTCCAAAGAAATAAGATTACAAACCTAATCCAAAAAGAAACCCCCACTAAAATCCAAGACAAAGAACAAGAAAACGGCAAAGCCCTCCTCCCATACATAAAAGGCACCACAGACAGAATCAGTAAGATCCTCCATAAACACAACATCAAAACAGCATTCTGCACAAACAGAAAAATATCCACCATCCTTAGAAACCCCAAAGATAAAATTGAATTAGAAAATCAAGGAGTATACGAAATCCCATGCACCACTTGTCCCACCACATACATCGGACAAACCAACAGAAGAATAAGTGCACGCATTGAAGAACATAAGAACTCAGTCAAAAAAGAGGAACCAACATCTTCCCTGGTCCAACACCTTAAAGCCACAGGACATGAAATTGACTTTAAAAATACCAGAACCATTGCCAAAAGTGAACATTTTAATAACAGAATAATCAGAGAAGCCATCGAGATAGAAAAACGCCCACACAGCATGAACAAGCGAGATGATACCTCCCGCCTACCAGCCATTTGGAAACCCGCCCTTATTGACAAACGACTCCCTAACACAAAAAATGATACCAGACCCACACTCACAAAAACCACACAGGATGTCACCACCACACATCCACGCAAAAAACAAACCCAAAGCCACACCGATGACGAGGCACGACCACAAACCAGAAGCCAGACCACAGCTGCATCATTAGCCACTTTAAACCCCTCCAATCCATACATGAAGCAAACTGACACCCTCCATGAAGAGGAAGCATGACCACGAACGCGAAGCCAAAAAATAGCAAGGCAGCCCAAAATCTCAAACCCCTCTGCAACTCAGACTAACCTGAGCACAACCAAACAGAACACTCCCCCAGCCAATCAGAGCACAGCCAAGCCCCTAACCATTCAGAACACACCTCCACCCAATCAGAACACAGCCAAGCTCCCACCCAATCAGTTCATACCCCCACTGGCAGTTAAAAGGAAGAAACAGCTAAGACCACACATTGCTGCTCAAAGCACGAAGCTGAAAACACCAGCCGGAAGATGACGAATGGGACTTCGTCGAAACGTCACCAAGACACTTCCAATTTTACACAGGAGAAAACCCGAATAACTAAAGACCTACATACAAACACCCGCGAAAACCTCAGAATATATATATATATATATTGTTTTTTATTTTGTTTTATTTTGTTTATTTTGGCTTTCCAAAACAAGAAAAATATTAGTAACAATGCTAAATTAATGTGAGCAAATAAGCAAAATGCGCAATACAAACAGACAAGCCATTATGTCTGAATTTCTTGGCAAAAGCAGTCTTAAAATGGTTTTTCTCTTTTGTAAAATTAATTGGTCTAACAGTATGTCTTTTCATATCTCCAGTAAATCCCTCACATTGAGTGAGACACAGTTTCAGTAAGTGCGTATAGATGGCAACCCAAGCAATGTTTTCCTTCATATTTCTGGAGTGATTATTTTAAGCATTTACATATTGGCAATGTCTTATGTGTTCCCCATTATACCAGCCTAACAGCGAACTGAATGAATTCCAACAACAAATGCTTAAGGAAAGTGACTTAGCACATTCAGGGCCTTGGTAACAATGAAGAAAAGCAATAAACACAGAAATGCTTCTCTGAAGCTGAAAACTCAAATGATGGGCAACTCAAGGAACTGTATCACTCCAGAACAGTATGTGTCACAACTGTGAAAACTAAGCAATAGAGGATGATGTTTTAGAAGCAAGCAGCAAAGGAAAGTAAAAAAAAGCAAAAATGCTTCTCAGTTAACTTCATAATAGAAAATGATTTTGTACCCTCGGTGAAGTCACACCCTGTCTAAGTGATGGATTGTTCTTGCTAATTCTAGGACATGTTTGATTCAAATGGCCCAAGGGTTACCTCATTCTTTCATTGCTTCTTCTCTCTATAAAAATTGTAAACTAACACAGTGACTTTGCACTAATTTGTCTTATTTAGAGTGCAGATAGAGTTTATATCAGATGATAAATCGAAGTTATATTCACTTGCTGTGGCGAGGAAGAGCAAAAATATAGGGGGGGAAACCATCACCTTCATTGCTCCAGCATATCTTAAAGATATGATCAACACTCTGAGGGCCTCATATAATGTACTAAAGCATTATCCTAAGTATAGATTTCAAGTACCCAGTCTACATTTCAGTATATGTAGTGGTTGGCTACCTTTTACCTTCAGTAAAAAAATAATGACTGATGGCAGATACGATAGCACTCTTCAAATACCTGAAATATCATGAAGATGTTCAAGGTCTATTCTGTCTCATTCCCGAGTAAAGAATATGGATTCAAGTCACAGGAAGGCAGAGCCTGATTCTGCATTAGAAAAATGTTCCTTATATAAGAATCTTCTTAATCTTTTTAATAGTAAGCGCAGTTCAGCAATGAAAACAAGTCACAGAACTGGTAGCCTTCCTTCATTGGATGCATTATATGGAGAGTAAACTGCTACACTGGCCTAAAATGGCTGACTGATCTTTAAAGTAATTATATAAGACACTTATGTGCCTCAATGACAGGGCAACATACTATGATCCTTTAAAAAATATGCTAAAGTTATGGCTACACTGTGTATACTTTGAAAATACCAATATCACTTAATACTTATATACTGCTTCACAGCCCACTCTAAGCAGTTTACAGAGTCAGCCTATTGCCCCCAACAATCAGGGTCATCATTTTACTGACCTCAGAAGATGGAAGGCTGAGTCAACTTTGAGCCAGTGAGAATCGAACTGCCAAACTGTTGGCAGTCAGCAGAAGTAGCCTGCAATACTACATTCTAACCTCTGTGCCACCATGATTCAGAACATATGTTTACAGAACATGTGGAAGTATAACACCTCTTTGAAGCAGTCAGGTCTTTTTTCAGACTTTTCTACAAATGTCAAAAAAGATACTGTACAGTTGCTGTCATGTACTTCGGCTCATATGGAAATCTAAAAACAGAAAGAGAAACTACAAAACAATGCTGTATTTGCCCTCTCACATATCCCAAAGTACCTCTTACAAATAATTTTTGAAGCATGCACATCTCAAACAACCCTGGTCAATTTTCTCAATTATAAGGAACGTTTATCCTTTTGCCTATTCCAGGAACTCCATTTCCTTAATGCAACCCTGAAAAACCTGATCACTTCTTAATCATCCAGGTTGCGGTTGTCTCATAGGTGCTTTTCAGAAGGCAACTGGACTTTCTTGGTTTTTTTTTCCGTGAAAACATTTTGCTTCTCATCCAAGAAAAAGCTTCTTGGATAAGAAACGTTTTTACATAGAAAACCCCCCCCCCCAAAAAAAAACCTCCAATTGCCTTGGGATGACTACATCTTGCACCATTGTCTTTCCTAATACTGCTTCCCAGGACATTTCTTCCTGATAAAGAGGAATCAATCCATCTTTTATTATGGTCACAGACCAGAATAAGATAAAAATGAATAATAACTAAATGCAATTCACAAGAAAATCATTCCTCTCGGGAAATATGCCCAGGAAACAATCTATAAAAGGAAAGAGAACAACGTTTTTTTTTTTTTTAAAAGGAGTAAACATTTTCCATATTCTCTAGAAGGTATTTTTTAGAATCTTGAGAGCAAGAAATCCTTGTATGCACAGCCAGATATTTAATATGAATGCATTAGAACAAAATAAAATATTCTCCCAAGAGTAGCTGGGACATACTGGGTGAAGGATGTGCCTCAGAACTGTCACTATAAGCAGCTGCTGCTGGCAGAAAACCTTCAGATGACTGCCTGGAATATGTCCTAACAACATTCCCTACTTAATTCAGTACAATTTTATTCTGTACAGAAAGCTCTTATAATTGAGGATCGATAATCGTGGAACTGGGTGTTTGTAGTTTTTCTTTTTGGAATTCCTTGGGATCTTTCTTCTTCTAATTTTAGCTAAGCATGTTCCATTGTACCAAATTCCAGTGTTTCACTGTGGAGGGTTCCTAATTTCAAACTCCTTCACCTTCCTAATTATCGCCACTACCACCATCAATGCCAGCCCTGAGGATTATGAAAATACTATATAGTTTTCAGCAAAATGAAATTAAATGGCTCTAATAAAAATTAAAAGTTGGATGATAATGCGAAGCAGTTAAACAGCAGAGACCCCCTCAAAATTAGTTGCATGTCTTAGGACAATGTAGGCAACTGTTCAGAAAATTTATTTAAAATCTACCAACCTCCACATATGGGGTTGGTAGCCTATAGTGTCCTTCATTTATTTTTTAAGTCTTGTCTTGGTCTATTTTCAGTATCGTAAGAAGAAAACATTATTATATCAGCCTAGAGTTCTGGAAGAAGAAGAGATGACAAAAAGAGAGCCAAGAGCAGCAGTTCTATCTTGGATTTGCAGTGCTTTTCACAGTTCAGATCAGCCTGTGGCCGTGATGTAGGAATCACTAAAGAGCAGAGGTAGGAAACTTTTTCTTTAGAGAGGGGAACTAAGGCTATGCTTGGTCTCTGAAAGACACAGTGGAAGTTCCACACTGCCAAAAAAATATACCGGATATGACCTTAGTTCAAGAGCATTTAAATTACACGTCAACCAAATACATTTAAAATATGAAATGTTTCAAATACATTTAAAAAAAAGCACTGACTTCACAGCCAAAGTGCATCAGAGAATTCCAAGTAATGAGAATAGGAACTGAAATATATATTACTGGGAAAGCAGTAACTGTGCTTTGATTATGAAATCTTTATTTCATAAAATCTCTATTTTCAGAAGGAATGGGGAGTGAAAACAGAATTTGGATGTCTTTTATGAATATTATATAAGCCATGTCAGAAATGCCTTAGGGCTAATGTACCTGTTATTTTTACCTTGTATTCTATCAAGAAACTGCCACTTACTTTAGGCACTTCATATGATGATGTGATCATTTCAGATGTTCGTTTTTTGGGATTGCTAAGGATGGTCTGATAATACATCAGTCCTCCTTTCCTAAAAAAACAACAAAGACGTGAAACATAAATTAGAAAAGAAGGAAAGCGGGTTCATTATTAAGAAAGCTCTATATCAGTGGTTCTCAACCTGTGGGTCGGGACCCCATTTGGGGTCGAACGACCATTTCACGGGGGTCGCCAAACAAGGCTGTCTGCCATTTTTTCCCTTTTCTTTGGCCATGCCCTTGGCACCCACTGATGTATAAGTGGTTGGGGGTCACCACAACATGGGGAACTGTATTATGGGGTCGCGGCATTAGAAAGGTTGAGAACCACTGCTCTATATCATTACAATGGTGAGGGGCAGAAATTTCACTTCCTATTTAACATTGTAAATCATTGGATGGATATGGGTTAGTCACAATCTTTCAGGGCAGTTATGAGATCAATGGTAGAAGATGGGATTTTGTCCTGAATGTTTAAAATAAACATAATAAATAGCTAATAAAGATCAAATTGAATGCTATTCATTGTCAGCAAATCAAGGCAGGCCAGACTAGGAAGTCATAGTAACAGAACCTTGCAAGTTTGAATTTTTATTCTCACTCCTTTTCTTTGTATAAATTAGGGAGAAACTTGTCTGAGGTAGTTGCAGTTCTGTCCCTGACTCAGATTTCTTTATCTGATCATTCCTTTGGCAAGAAGGCCACTCATGAAAGTGATATACTGTAAACCTTAAACAACAACAACTTCTTGAAAAGCTAAAAAAAAATCTTTAAAAAAGCACAGGTCTTAGGAGTCACCTATGTCTAAATAACTTTTTCAAAGTATGTGTCACTTTCTTATACTTTACTGGAATTTACTAGAAGGATAAATTGAAAGTAGTGATTACTCTTTATGCAGTGTTATATAAAAAAGAAATATTCACAAAGGAGCAAGGAAAAAGACTTTCAAGCAATAAAATCAATGTTTTTGAAGTTGTTCTCTTCATAACATGATATTCCAGGTGGTAGCTTCTTTTTCTCCTCATTTTAATTTTACTTATTTATTTTGGAAGTTGGATTACTTCAGGATTACTGTTCTATATATGCATTCTTCATTTTAATTTTTTAATTTTTATATTTTATTTCAATTAATTCAGCATAATAAAGCTACAAAACATGAAATAAGAACGAGATATGTCTAGCTAAATTGTGTAGATTAATGGTATTATAAGATTAATATATAATAAGAAGGCTAAGAGGATTTCGTTACATAAATATATATCTATAGCAAATTGTTTATTAACGGGAGAAAAAAAATAAATTCAAACCACTGTGAGTTTGTAAAAAATATTATTGATACATCATTGTATCTACTGCCTCCCCCCCTATTGGAGACAATTGAAATATTTAATTGAATTGAATAACAATTATTATTTTAACAGGTAGGTATAATTCAATTAATAGACCTCCCACCGCTATACTATCTGTTAATTCAGTTGTTTTAATACATGGTGGAAAACACAGGCCATAACACCTAACTACACTGATCATTAATAATTAATAACAGAGAGAATGATCAGCTTAAAGCAGTTAAAGCTGGGATGAACTCTGTGGCGATTTCAACAAACGTGCAGTAATTGACAAACAAAATAACTGTATTTATTTTATCTGCTTTAAATAATATGGCTATTGTATACTTTGAATTGCAAAAGTGGGACACAAAAGTGATACACTATGTATAATTTGTTCCTATATGCCTCCCACCACCCACCCTCAGTAAAAGAGAAAAAGACAAAAGGATAGGTTTTTAAGAACAACAACTTTATTTAAGCTTAAAGTGGACAAATAGCTTTAATATCAATAGTTACTCCCTTTAAGTGTGTAATTAAATAAATTGCAATGAGTTCATTTCTTCTGTTTCCCCCCCCTCCCCCACAATCCACCTCTATTTGGGACAAACTCCCCAGGTTTCTCTCAAGACAGCCAAAACCCTTAAGTTTCCACCACTTTTATTACTTAAAGCTTTCTTCAGGGTGATCAAGTGAAACTTTAAATCTCCCCACTCCGCCTTATTTAAGCTTGCAAGCCTAAATTTTGTAAATCTCAAGAAGCCTGTCTCCATCTTAAAAACATTATTCAGATGTTCACAAAATAAATATACTCTCAAGTGCAGGAAAATCAGAACGTTCAGGCAGTTCAAATAAATAGAAAGGTTTATTGTAAGCTTATGCTCTCTGCAAGAATCTGAACAACTAACAGTCAAAGCAAATAGGTGGTATATAAGAGTTAATGGAATTCAAAGCAGACTGCACTTAGATCTCTTGTGGATGCGAAAGGACTCAAGACTGATGACACATTTGACCCCTCAGCCTGGACATTTCCTATACATAGTATTTTTCCAAATAAGCACTGCACCTTCTAACTACTCTTGAATTAATTGGACAGTACTGTGAGTTTAGTATTTTCAATCTAACTAATATTTCTTTTTTATTTGGAATACATGGATATGGGATTATGCCATTTTTCTTGATGTTGTCATAATGTGTAACTATTTGGATTCAGTTTCTAAATATGAACAAATTGAGTTCTGGAACTAGATTACATTCAGTTGCTTTCCTAACATTAAATTCTAAAACTTATATATGGGTAAAAATTCCAAGTCGGGTGGGAGTTTAAAATACAGGAATTGGCTTTTAGGGGCATTTTTGACATATTTTGGGAATGGTTTCTGTTTCAGGTAACTTGATTATGATATCCTTGGACTAAAGATGTGCAGGTAGATTTTTGTATAAATAAAGTATTTTAAAAAATAAAATCAGTCCACTTTTATAGCAGTTTCTGTATTTATTATGGTAATAGCAAAAAGATAATTGCTATACTAAACCAAATAAGTACAATAACATAATAGAGAATAGGGGAAAATTAATATGTCAGCAATATATCTATATTATATCTGTATGTGGAACCAGATGTAAATATAGAAATGGCACAATGGTTTCATCTTCAAGGCCTAACAAACTCATGATGCCATTACAGAGGAGGGAAAATGTCCGAGAAATAGTTCAAATTACTTAGGAAGATGTAGGTGTTTAATATGTTGAAGTTCTAATGGATAAATAAAATGTTAAAGTGCTATTCATGTGAGATCACTTTGCAAAGTTAAAGTCAAACCAGATGCTTACTGAAGTTGGCAAACACAAAGATGCATAGTCTAGCTGAGCTGGATTTTATTTTTTTTTAAGTTCACATTGATTTTTGTTTTCTAATTAAGTTCTGTTTCTGTTTTCAAGTTTAACTAGTTTTCATATAGTCCTTGTAATCTTTGACCTTCAGCTTGGTTGTTTTTATGTACTTAATTTGATTTATGCTACATTTTGTAACTTTCTAGATACAAAGAATTATCCAAAAAACTATTAATTATTTGCATATTAAAAACACCAAACTTCAATAAATTCTAAATGAATATGATTAATATGACTTGTTTAATACCAGGATGCCCTGGAATGACAGCATCACATTCAAATCTGAAAATCAAAGAGCCTATCTAATCTCAAATTTTTAAATCAGCTTTATGGAAGAAGAACAGTGACATTTGATTACTATTTTATTTCTAATTTCATTGTTTGTCTGGAATGTGGCTCAGATTTCCAAAGACAAACAAACTCATTTGGGATTCCAGGAACAAAGTTTTATTGAAAGAAAGCTTTTGCAAAGGCTGGTGGTCTTAAACTTACATAGAAGATTAAGCCACACACACAATTTTTAAAATCACAGATTTATACCCTCTCACGAAGCTGATCCCCCTCCCCACCCCTATCCACTCAAAAGCCCACCTGCTCACCCCAAGCACCTAAACAGAATACATTTCAGTTCATCCCATCCCAGGAAAAAGCTGTTATATTTCATATACCTGTTAACCATGACCTTTTGCTGACATTAGCCCTATCTTTATTTTTATATTTCCTCCTGCTTGCAATCACATCTAGCTTCCTATAGAACCTACATATTTCAAAGTAATTATCCTGCATGTGTCAAAGGCCCTACTTCTAAAAAGCTTAAGTTACTCCATTTTGCCATTGTTAAGCTTACTCCTTAAGTTTCAACTGATCTTATTAGGATTAAATATCTTCATATGATATTGCCAATGTGTTACCCCTGTCTATATATCTTTTAAATAGATGGATTTGTACTGCCCACCTTTCAAAGGATATCATTAAACAATTTCTGATATTATTTTATCTCTTACAATGTTGATTCTTTAATAAATTGAAATGTAACAAATGAACTAATGAAGAGTGAATACTGAAATAATACACATAAGCCTAATTCCAATATTGATTTATACATATATATATATATATATATATATATATATATATATATATATATCATATATTTCTAATAGTTCACAATTCCTTTCAAGATTACTAAGCATATTCATCAGTTATTGATGTCTGCTACTTCATAGTGTAACAGATTTATAAACCTATTTGTTTTAAAAAAAATTCTGTTGAGTTTCTGCATTACAAAACTATCTTGGAGCTGGTGACACCTCCATTAAATATGCAATTTAAAATCTGCCATCTGTCTATCATTTATATTTACACAAGAAATTCAACCTTTTTGAGAGAACATAAGCTATCCATAATAGTTCCTTTCCTTCAGCCTGCCTCATCTCCAGTTGCTGTTCACAGATCAGATGAATTATTCCATTGATCAAAATAACAAATTCCTTGAAGTGCAGTTCATTTCCTCTTTCTTACTACTAATTCCGTCATTATCTTCACATTAAAAAATCATTAGGGAATAACATAAGAAGAAAGACAGACCTACTAGTCTATTATTCTGGCAACTTTCTGTCATCATGACAAATCTGGAAATGCAAAAACAGAGGGATCAGTGTTCTTAACTGTGAACTAACAAACGGCAAATTCAATTGCACTGCCAACTTCTCCCAATTTTCCATCATCAACCAAGTGTATAAGTCAAACATCTTCCTCCATGGAGATAAGGGAGCTCACTGCATAAGTCACAGAAGCTGAGAATGACTCATGTGCTATTCATCTAACTGGCA